AAAAAATAAAAATAAAAAGTCCCAAACAACAACAACAACAACCGCAACAACAACAAACAACCAAACTTTTAACGTATTTTACCATTCGAATTTTCATCGCATAATAATAATAATAATAATAATAATAATAATAATAATAAGATTCATTTATTTAAAAAAAATTGATCGTTAATTTAAAAAAAAAAAGAAATAGAAGCAAATAAAAAAACTTGTTTCGACGTAAGACAAGCATGAGAGTTCAATTTCTTTTTAAAATTCTCTTACGGAGAAAATGTTAAGAAAAAAAGAAGCTTTTCGAAGTGTGTATATATTTAAGCAATAATTCAAATTCTAGTGACACGAAAAAGAAAAAAAAAAATTATTTTATTTTATTTTACTTTTATTTATTACTTTTATTACGTCATTTATTTTAATAATTATAAAACTTAATGAATTTAACGCTTTTTTTTCTTTTATTCGAAAGTAATTAAAAATAATAATAATAATAATAATAATAATAATAATGATAATAATAATAATGACGACGTTATTTCAATGCATTGATGTTATTATTACTATTATTATTATTACTAAACATTCGCAGATTAAAATAAAAAATTTTAATGAATAAATTTTTTTCATCACACTCGACTAATAATAATAATAATAAATTTAAAAAAAAAAAACACGCAAACGCACGCACGCACGCATTATAAAATTTAATTTTTATATAAATTTAATGATATTTAAATATGTAAAAAAAAAAAAAAAACGATCGACCTCAGGACCGAATTTAAGATTTTTACTTAAAATGATAATTATTCTTAATATAAAAACAAATCACGTAAAAAAAAAAATTGTTTGAACTCGTTATTCTTAATACGTGCCTGTTTTCTCTTCCTTAAATACATCAAACAAAAAAAAGCGAAAGAATTACACTTTAAATCATTTTTTTTTTTTTTTCAATAAATTTATGTATTATTTACATAACTTATGCGTTTCTTTTTCCTACGTACATGCATAGAGAAAAAAAAACAAGTCATAGAGAAACGACGGCGACGATGATGATGATGATGATAATAAGTAACAAAAATTCACGACACGAAACAGAAAAAAAAAACGAAATTTTCAAGGTCTTTTATACCGCGAAAACTTTGCCAAAATGATGATGATAATTTTTTGTAAATAAACTTTTTTTACACTTGAAGAGTCTGAATTATTTTTTAAACAATACTTTTGATGATGACGAGAGAGAGAGAGAGAGAAATGATTACCAGTTTTGCAAGGTTTTGAAAAAAAAAAAAAAAAAATTGAAATACGGTCGCGAAATGTGGGAAATACTCGACTAAGACGAAGACAAACCCAGATTTGACAAGAGAAAAGAACTTTGAACCGAACACACGAGACACGTCTAGTACTCTCTCAAATATAAAAAAAAAAAAACGAGGATGTTGAAATAGCAGAAGGAACAACAACAACAACAACGCACACACACAAACACAACCATAGAAACCTGTTTATCTATTCACAATAAGAAAAGAAAACAATAATTGCACGTGAATTACAAGTTCAGGTTTTTTTTTTTTTAGTAGTTGTAAGTATGGACGTGTGCGGTAAGGCACACTCCTTTTCTGTACCGGTAAATATTGTAAACAAGTTTTCTTCTTCTTCATCTTCTTCTTCTTTTTCATTCATGAAATTTAAACTCAATGAAATTTTTTGTTTTTTTTTTTTTTTTCCGTGTTTACGATCGTCATTTGTGCCACGACCGCATCACATTTCGTCATTGAATGCCATCATCACCGTCGTCGTGACTTATTTTTTTTGTATTATTTCTACTCGTAAAAGAAGAAAAAGAAAATTCGCATTAAATGATTTTATAAACCCCCCTGCCCACTTCTTAACCCTTCAGTCGTGTGATAGCACTGTTTAATAATAATAATTATTAATAAAATCAACCAAGGGGAAAATTTGTTCAAGGAGGGCAAGAGAGTTTAAGGGCCTTACAAAATTTTTCGGTCAAAATAATAATAATGATAATAATTTTTATCATACTAATAACCCGTAAAGATGGCCGATCGATAAAAAAAATCGATAAATTTTTTTTACATTTACATGTATTAATAAACGATGCGATAAATTTTGAGGAAAACGTCAGAATTATTATTATTATTTTCATTTTTATAATATTTAACCGTGAAAAATTTTTTTCTTCTGCTTTTTTTTATTTTTCCTTTCTCTTTTTCCGTAAAAAAAAAATGAAAAGAGAAAAACTTTTTAAAAAGTGTTTAAACCCGTCGGGCATCGATGGTAAATTAATAATAATAATTATTATTATTATTTGCGTAAAAAAAAATGAGCGGTTTATTTTTTTTTGTTTTTTAATTGCATTTATTCGGTTCCTCGATTCGAATCACTAATTCCACGACAACTTTTTAAAAGATTTATTTTTTATGTGTCTCTATTTCGTACCTGGAAAAAAAATTAATTCGCTTTTTTTTTTAAACTTTAATATAAATTTATATTAATCGATCGATTTCATCCTCCCCTTTTTTTATTTCGCCCCTCCCCCCCTCGTTAAAATGGGGAGGGGGGCGTAATGCGGAATTTTCCGGTTGATTGGGTGAATACGCGCACGTTTTACGCCGCGAAAACACGATTTTGTTCATTCGTACGTAAAATTTCTACGTCACGTTTATATTAACGTCATCGTTTTATTTATTTAAAAAAAAATTATTATTATTATTATTTAAAGTTTATTATTAAAATAAAAATTTATTTCGTTTCTTTACATACTCTCAAACGGTTTACGCACGCGCACTCGCGCACTCACGCATTTACTTTATAAATTCATTGACCTCGCAAACATCGATGCTGTTTTTTTTTTTTTTTTTAATTATAAAAGAAATTATTAAATATGACATTAATATCTTCCTCTCCTCCCCCTCCCCTTCCTTCCCTCCGAAGAACAATAAATACGACCATGTTATTATTATTATTATTTTTTTGTAAGCGGAATCCTTTTTTCCGAGAAAAAAAAGAAAATTAATTTAATATTCGTTTAAATATTAATTAGAATGGCGGACCACGGACCCCCCACCACCACCGTTCCATGATTATAATTTTGTTTTTACCATATTTGGTAATTGTTTAACATTTTTTAACGGGTATCAAATTTTTCGTTTTAATTACATTGGGGGAAAACATTTAAAATAATGATGATAATAATTTTGCAAACAGATTGTGAGTAGACGTCGATGTGGTTGTCAAGTTTATTTTAAATCGTGTAACGGTTTCGGGTTTTCCCGCCATTTCCGACTATGAATTATTTCCGGTTTTACTCTTTCTTACTCTTTCCAGTACTCGCTTTATTTGTTTGTTTTTTCCAAGCGTTAATACGTTTACTTTTTTCTTTTTGTTTAAATTCCCATTCGAATTTTTGTGTGATAATGATGTCGTCTCGTTTACCGATCGTTTAGAATCGTGGTCAGAACGTGGTACTATCATTCCTCGTTTAATCCTTCCGTTGCCTAAATACACGACACATATTCCAGCGGAGATATTTTCATCGAAAATCTTCTATTATTATTATTATTATTTCCGGAATGCGAATTTTCTCGCATAGTAAATCATGATGAAATTTTTCACAGATTTTTTAAATCAAAATTTTTGTTCAGAATTTTCCCTCCGGTTTAATTTCTTTCCTCCCCCCTTCCCTCCACTCCTATAAACGTATTATAATAATAATAATAATAATAATAATAATAATAATAATAATGATAACAATGATATTCAACGTTTATTTGCGATGTGATATACGTCACATTCGAAAGTATAATAACTTTGGAAAATTTCATTGCTTCGTCACCATCGCCATCGCCATCGCCATCATCATCATCATCATTATCATCATCATCATTATCACGATTGTAATTAAAATTACTTTTAGAGAGCAAGAAAGCATAAAGTTCCTTATTTCAACCCACGGTTCAAACTAATTATTTATTTAATTTAATTCTTAAGTAATAAACTAAAATAAAAACGAGGAACGGGTAATAAAATATGTGTTTGTGCTATGACGTAATCAAAGTAATAAAAAAAAAAACATTTATGTACGTATGTGTAACGTTGAAAAAAGAACGGAGAAAGAGAGAGAGAGAGGGGGGAGGGTGAAGGGTGGTTGAAATCTATTAAATCTTACAAATAATAATAATAATAAATTTTTTTTAACACGTAACATAAAACAAACAACAAAACGTTTCCGTTTGTTACGATTGCAACAAATTTTTTTTTTTTTTTTGTGTGTAACGAATAATAATAATAATAATAATAATAATAATAATAATAATAATAATAATAATAATAATAATAATAATAATAATAATAATTATAATAATAATAATGATTTCAGTATAAATATAAATAATATCCGTTAAAATTTTTTTTTAATCGCGTATTATCGAGTGATATCAAAAAAAAAAAAAAAACGTTAAGGTATCATTCAGGTTCCAAGTAATTTTTTTTTTAACATTACACGATATTTGATTGTCTGTTGGTTGTCTGTGTTTGTTGTATAAATTTGACAAGTAATTTTTTTTTTTTTTACCATCGATCAATGTCATTTTAAAGCACATGTAAAAAAAAAATTTAACGTGTACCTTGACTCGATCGGGTTGTTGAATTATACGAAATGAGAAATGTATTATTCCAACACGTGTTTATTATTATTATTATTATTATTATTATTATTATTATTATTACTAAATTAGGTTTATTATGGATTGAATGGATTGGAATTTTTGGCACGACGAAAAAGTTGTAAAAAAAAAAATTGAAATTATTCTTCTAATTTTTTTCTTTTTTTTGTCTGTTACTCGTTTTTAGGTAGAAAGAAAAGGAAGAAGAAGAAAAAGCGATCGGAAAAGAACTGAAAAAGAAAAAAGAGAAAAAAAGAAAAGAGATTTGTGTCGTTGTTGGACATGATTGAAAGAGAAATAAACATGGAAGACGTGAAGAAGAAGATGATAAAAATAGAAAACGTTGATCTCCAAACACGTCACCTCGTTGACGATTTACCGAGTCCGTCAGCATCTCCGCCACCTCCGACAGCATCACCGGTTTTAACCGCGGGTTCTCCGGGAAATTCTCCAGACGATCAAAACACTCCCGTCATGCTCACGACCATGCAACCCGTTCCTCTTAACATAATGGACATACCGAAAGATTACATGACGAATGCGTACGTTGACGACGGTAGTAGTAGCAGACACCACCAGGAATTTATTTATCAAGTAGATGGTAAAAATGTTGAAATCGTTCGTCAAGATGATTTGCCTCCGGGTACCGTATCCGTTGTCGTACAGCAACCTGGAGGACTGTTGCCGGCATACCAAACTCCTGGAACAACCGTGCTCGTACTCTCGGAGCTTGTTGAGGACATTGCGCCTGTTAGGTAAGTTAAGAACTTAAGGACTTTTGATCTTATAACAATAATTTTAAATAATGAAACATGAGAAAACATCTTCTCTTCTCACCCGTGTCAGGCACCCGTAATATGCAAATTTAATTAGGTACGAAGGTCACGCAATAAATTCATAAAATGTTGACTCCAGTCGTGCCAACGTTTTGTTCCTCTTTTTTTTTCCCCTTCAAATAGAAAAACAATGGAAAATCTAGAAAAAAATATTATCATTATTATTATCACATGATGTTGTTTGTTTCTTTTGATATTTAAATTTTTTTTTTTCCTCTCTTTCGCGATTAACGAAAAAGAGGAAAAAAAAACCCTGGAAAAACCGATTATATTAATAATAATAATGATTAAATTATATATTTTTCTTCCGTCCCACGTCGTTGAAATCGCCATTTTTTTTTTTTTTTTTAAATTTAATCGATAAATCAATAATTTTTAATCTTTTAAAATTTTTAAAATCTTTACAATCGATACGAATTTTTTTGTTTTTTCGACATTGTTGCCATCTTAAATTTTTTTTTTTACGAATCGAACGCACGCGCGTTAAAATAATATTTCATACGTGAAAATCGTGATCGTATCGATTGATTTATTTTTTTAAATAAAAAAAAATTACTTTGGGATTTTTTTTTTTTTTGTAATGGAGAATTATATAACGGTGGAGTGAAAAAGAAAAACAGAAGCGAAAGAGAGTGAGAGAGAGAGAAAGAGATGATTTGGTACCTGAAAAAAAAAAATGGTAATTGCATAACGAGCCTAAAAATTCCAATCATCTTAGTTTTTTTTTTTTTTTTTCGCGGTTTCGGTTCACATCTTTTCTTCTATATCTTCGGTTCGCTAACCACAATCCTCATGATGTTAATAATAATAATGATGATGATGATGATGGTATAATACCAATTACCTTTTTATATTAGAATATTATATTTGAAACTTGGTATAATTATTTATTACCTTTTTTTTACTTTTTTTCTTCTGAACGTAGTAAAATCAATGTTGTTGTTATTATTATTATTACCCTTCGACTAAATAAATCTTTACATCGACAGTAAAATAAATTTCTATTTCTTTCTCTCTCTCTCTCTCTCTCTCTCTCTATCCACCATTTTCCATTTTTTTATTTTTTTCCGTATTTAATTACGTTTTAAAAGAAAAAAAAAATGTAAAATGACAAAAGATGTTATCAGTTACTTTGTTATCTCTTCTCTTACATTTATTTAAAAAAAGTTAAATTTAAAATTATTACCGTAATAAAATATTTTAAATTTACTTTGACATGTTTTAACGTGAAAAATAAGGAAAAAAAATGTTTAAAACGTTGTTGTAATCGTTAATAAAAATTTAAATTAAACGTTGTTGTTGTTGTTAAAGATTTTGAAATATGTCTTCTGCCACGACCGATTCAAATTATTTTTCTTTTTTTTTTAAAGTTTTCAAAGTTTTTAAAACTTTTTTTTTTTTTGGATTTCGTTTGTTAAATTTAAATTTTTTTTATTACTTTTTTATTTTATTACTCGTTATTTTAATATTACTGTAATAATTAAAAACGATAAAATGATGAGAATGATGATGATGATGATAATAATAATGATAATAATGAAAATAGAAAATTAAAAAAAAAAAAAAAAGAAGAAAAAAAAATATTTTTTTTTTTTTAAAATAGTTAAAATTCAAACGAGTTGTTTGTTGTTTGTTTGTTGTTGTTTGTTGTCAAGGCCTTAAGGAACGAAACATAGAAAAAAAAAACGATGTAATTACTTCGAATCTACTATGTAAAAACCTCACGAAATGCAAAAAACGTCACTCTTTGTAAAGAGTGGTATGGAAACAAACAACGTACCTTAAAAAAAAAAAAACTTCTCCAACCGTGAAACCTTAAATTTTTTTTTTTTTTTTTTCATGCGAAAAACTAACTCGTAAGTTAAATTTAAATCTCATTGTTATCAAATTAATTTTTTTTTTTTTTTTAAAACAAAATGGCGGTGAATTTTTTTTAACGTCAAAAATGGCGCCATATTAAAATAATCGAGAAAAAAATTTTATTGTTTTTTTGACGTTTTTTGATGTCATCGTTAAATATCGATCCGCCAACGTGTAACCAAACGTTTTTGCATTCGTGATTTGCAAAAAAAAAAAACTTAAACAGTCAATCAATCAATCAATGATTCAATCAATAAATCAATCTTCGAACGAAATGAATAAGTTTTGAGAAAATGATATAAAAGCGGAAAAAAATGGGATTCGAGAGTTCGCGTTCGAAAAAGTTACGAACGTCAAAAAAAAACTTTTTGTCGTGTCAATAGACGTATGCTTTTCACATATTTTAGAACGCCTCGTTTTTACTAAATAAGAGTGTTTAATGAGCCATATTAAATCAAAAAAAACAAAATGATTGGCAAATTGTTAAAACTCCACGCAAATTTTCTATTGTTTTTTTTTGTTCAAGAAAATTTCAAAATACGATCGATATGATAAATCAGGTCAAGATGAAAACCTTAACATGAATGATTTTCAAAATGGCGCTTTGGGATGGATGTGCACTGAAAAAATAATTAAAAACGAAACCGATAAAAAAAAATCAATAAATCGATAAATCGATGAGAAAATTTTTCGCAAACCACAAAAAAAAATCGATAATCGTTACGCAATTTAAAAAACGTTGCGTTAAAGAAAAACGCGAACGCATTCACGCACGTTCTTTTTGTGTGCTAAAAAAAAAAAAAAATTCAAGTTCGCGACAATTTTTTTTTTTTTTTACAAATGAAACCTGCCTACGGCACTGTATGAAATTACAGTTAATTCACTTTTTACCGGTCGGTCGGTTGGTCTCTCGCTCGCTCGCTCGATCGCGCTTACGTACAAATAAAGTAAATTAAAAAAAAAAAATTTTTTTTACTTCTTCGGGCGGCAAATATAAAACTACGGTTAAATATTTTCTCACGTGTTCGTTTTTTTTTTTTTACGCACACGCACACACGCACGCATACACGCACAAACAAGGAATCCGGACGCGGGATTTAATTAATTTAAATTTTAATTACGATTTTTTTTTATGCGTTTTTGATGCGCGTAAAAAAAAAAAAAAAACGAAAAATTTCCATTTGGTTCGTCCATTTTTTTTTTATTAATCGATGACTTCTGCTGCCACTCCTGCTCCTGCTGCTGCTGTTGCTCCTCCTGTTGCTGTTTCACAAACTCTTCTCTTCTTTCTTCCATTTAACAATTAATTATTATTATTATTATTATTATTATTATTATAAATATTTAAAAAAATTAACGTTTTGACAATTTCTCTTTACCTTCACGGCGGGTTTCGTAAATTTATAATTGTTTTTTCATATTGATTTGATTGAAGTCATTATCGATTGATTGATTGATTTGGGGAGGTGAGGGGCAAGGGAGAGAGGGAGGGGGAGGGAGGTAAGCATGAGATTAATTCGTTCAACGCTCGTTTAAATTGAATAAATAATTAAAAATTAATTTATTATTTTCTTGTTGCGCATGGCATTACGGCAAGAAAGAAGCTCATTAACGAAAAAAAAAGGGGGTCAAAGGTTAATTTTCTTAAATATAAATT